AGAAGATAACCTTAACTGACAGCTAAAAGGCTGAAAGCATTCATCCCTGAACCCAAACGTTTGACGTCAATGAGACTTTGTTCTCACAGTGTCGCAGTTTGGCCAACTCTGGGGCCACAGACTCCAGACTTCAGACTTCCAGACTTCCAGACTTTCAGACTTCCAGACTTCCAGACTTCCAGACTTTCAGACTTCATGAAGCTACAGCTTAAAGTCTGTATGCTTTCAGACGTTATCGTGTAACTTTAAAGAAAATATGCGAGGCAGATTATCGCGTCTCAGGTGACTCTACGGGTGGCCAGGTGACTATACACGTGGCCAGGGGACTATACGAGTGGCCAGGTGAGTATACGGGTGGCCAGGGGACTATACGGGTGGCCAGGTGACTATACGGGTGGCCAGGTGACTATACGGGTGGCCAGGTGACACTATACACGTGGCCAGGGGACTATACGGGTGGCCAGGTGACTATACGGGTGGCCAGGCGACTATACGGGTGGCCAGGTGACTATACGGGTGGCCAGGTGACTATACGGGTGGCCAGGTGACTATACGGGTGGCCAGGTGACACTATACACGTGGCCAGGGGACTATACGGGTGGCCAGGTGACTATACGAGTGGCCAGGTGACTATACGGGTGGCCAGGGGACTATACGGGTGGCCAGGTGACTATACGGGTGGCCAGGTGACTATACGGGTGGCCAGGTGACACTATACACGTGGCCAGGGGACTATACGGGTGGCCAGGTGACTATACGAGTGGCCAGGTGAGTATACGGGTGGCCAGGGGACTATACGGGTGGCCAGGTGACTATACGGGTGGCCAGGTGACTATACGGGTGGCCAGGTGACACTATACACGTGGCCAGGGGACTATACGGGTGGCCAGGTGACTATACGAGTGGCCAGGTGACTATACGGGTGGCCAGGGGACTATACGGGTGGCCAGGTGACTATACGGGTGGCCAGGTGACTATACGGGTGGCCAGGTGACACTATACACGTGGCCAGGGGACTATACGGGTGGCCAGGTGACTATACGGGTGGCCAGGCGACTATACGGGTGGCCAGGTGACTATACGGGTGGCCAGGTGACTATACGGGTGGCCAGGTGACTATACGGGTGGCCAGGTGACTATACGGGTGGCCAGGGGACTATACGAGTGGCCAGGTGACTATACGGGTGGCCAGGGGACTATACGAGTGGCCAGGTGACTATACGGGTGGCCAGGCGACTATACGGGTGGCCAGGTGACTATACGGGTGGCCAGGTGACTATACGGGTGGCCAGGTGACTATACGGGTGGCCAGGTGACTATACGGGTGGCCAGGTGACTATACGGGTGGCCAGGGACTATACGAGTGGCCAGGTGACTATACGGGTGGCCAGGGGACTATACGGGTGGCCAGGTGACTATACGGGTGGCCAGGGGACTATACGAGTGGCCAGGTGACTATACGGGTGGCCAGGGGACTATACGGGTGGCCAGGTGACTATACGGGTGGCCAGGTGACTATACGAGTGGCCAGGTGACTATACGGGTGGCCAGGGGACTATACGGGTGGCCAGGTGACTATACGGGTGGCCAGGTGACTATACGGGTGGCCAGGTGACTATACGGGTGGCCAGGTGACTATACGGGTGGCCAGGTGACTATACGGGTGGCCAGGTGACTATACGGGTGGCCAGGTGACTATACGGGTGGCCAGGGGACTATACGAGTGGCCAGGTGACTATACGGGTGGCCAGGTGACTATACGGGTGGCCAGGTGACTATACAGGTGACCTGGAGCGAACACATATACTGTTATAAGTAGTTTTAAATACGACAAATGAAACCTTTTCCCCCCACACAATCATTGCAAGACGGGCGTAAGGCGTCTCAAAGCCTTGAGACGCCTTACGCCCGAATATAAGGCACTACGGGCTTACCATAGCCCGTGCTACTTGGAACTTTTTGTTCCAGGTAGCGAATCTTTAACAACGTCTTATTCGTTCTTGTCCCCTTGCTAGAAGCGACAATAATCCGCAGATAACGAGAGTGGTCAACCCACCCGAGGGCGTCTCCCATTAACTTACAAGTCCGCAGATAACGAGAGTGGTCAACCGACCCGAGGGCGTCTCCCATTAACTTACAAGTCCGCAGATAACGAGAGTGGTCAACCCACCCGAGGGCGTCTCCCATTAACTTACAAGTCCGCAGATAACGAGAGTGGTCAACCCACCCGAGGGCGTCTCCCATTAACTTACAAGTCCGCAGATAACGAGAGTGGTCAACCCACCCGAGGGCGTCTCCCATTAACTTACAAGTCCGCAGATAACGAGAGTGGTCAACCCACCCGAGGGCGTCTCCCATTAACTTACAAGTCCGCAGATAACGAGAGTGGTCAACCCACCCGAGGGCGTCTCCCATTAACTTACAAGTCCGCAGATAACGAGAGTGGTCAACCCACCCGAGGGCGTCTCCCATTAACTTACAAGTCCGCAGATAACGAGAGTGGTCAACCCACCCGAGGGCGTCTCCCATTAACTTACAAGTCCGCAGATAACGAGAGTGGTCAACCCACCCGAGGGCGTCTCCCATTAACTTACAAGTCGTTGCTTTCTCTGCTTTGCGAGCTGTTGAGTTTCAGTCTCGCAGATAAGACAAGTTCACGACATTTTCTTCCAGGGGAATTAAATGCAGAATTTTCGGCTTTCTAAGGGTAGGGGAAGGGGGGGGGGGAAGGGGAACAGCAGTGGTGTATGATGTATCAAGATGTATATGATGTATCAGGATGTATATGACGTATCAAGATGTCAATTTTTATAATATATTCCCTGAGTTTATCTGCTGTTATAAGTGTTGTTGTGGCTATGTACAGAGATGAGGGGGGGGGGGCAAGGAGGGGGGGGGGGGCAAGGGGGGGGGACAAGGGGAAGGGAAGGGAACTATCAGGGGAAAGCGCCAAGCCATTACGACTATACAGCACTGGGAAGGAGGTCAGGATAAGGATTTGGGATGGGACGATGGGGAAAAGGAACGGTGCCCCAACCACTTGGACGGTCGGGGATTGAACGCCGACCTGCATGAAGCGAGACCGTCGCTCTACCGTCCAGCCCAAGTGGTTGGGGGGGGGGAAGACAAAGAAGGAACGAAGAGGGGGTGATGATAGAAGAGAAGAAAGAAGAGAAGAAGAGGAGAACGAAGGTGGAAGGACGAACAGAGGCCGAAGGAGGACTTCGAACAAAACGTGACCGAAGGAGAAGGATTTCGAACAGCACGTGGCCGAAGGAGAAGGACTTCGAACAGCACGTGGCCGAAGGAGAAGGACTTCGAACAGCACGAGGCCGAAGGAGAAGGACTTCGAACAGCACGAGGCCGAAGGAGAAGGATTTCGAACAAGACGTGGCCGAAGACTTCAGGGAAGACTTATCAAGACATAAGAAGTGGTGACCAGGAATCACTGTGTACTCACCTATTTGTACTCGCCTATTTGTGCTTGCGGGGGTTGAGCTTTGGCTCTTTGGTCCCGCCTCTCAACTGTCAATCAACTGGTGTACAGATTCCTGAGCCTATTGGGCTCTATCATATCTACATAAAAACTGTGTATGGAGTCAGCCTCCACCACATCACTGCCTAATGCATTCCATCCGTTAACTACTCTGACACTGAAAAAGTTCCTTCGAAGTCTCCTTTGTGTGTGTGCGTGCGTGTGCGTGTGCGTGTGTGTGTGTGTGTGTGTTTGCTAGCGAGTTTCCCAGAGTCATTTGTAAAGCAATAAGCGGAGAGCGACCGTGGCGCTGGGATTAGCCAGTGGCAGCTGGGAAGCTCTCGCTGATTAATGATTCAAAAACAAATAAATATAAAACATGACGGTAACTGATGGAATGTATTTACATGTCCATGTTTGTGTTTGTTTGGTTCGTTTGTTTGTTAGAAAGAGGGGGGGGGGGAGGGAATATGAGAAAAATATGTATGCGTTGAGTGAGAGAATTTACCTAACCTTTTTTTGTGGGGGTTGAACTTCAGTTCCTGTGGTACGCCTTTCTAAATGTTGGTAGCTTCTTCTTGAGATGATTTCGGGGCTTTTTAGTGTCCCCGCGGCCCGGTCCTCGACCAGGTCTCCACCCCCAGGAAGCATGCAGCCCGTCACAGCTGACTAACACCTAGGTACCTATTTTACTGCTAGGTAACAGGGGCATAGGGTGAAAGAAACTTTGCCCATTGTTTCTCGCCGGCGCCTGGGATCGAACCCAGGACCACAGGATCACAAGTCCAGAAGCTTAATGGCTTCCGTGTCACATCTGCTTTTAAAACTATGAATGGAAGGGAAAAAAAGCCTTTTAGCTTTACGTGGCTCTTTATGCTCAACCAGTACATTAAATGTCTCTATGCCCTCGATATACATTAGTATATTGAACGTCCAGATCATGTCCCCTCTATTTTTTTCGAATGATATTCAAATTAGGTGTTCCTCAGGTATCTGAATTTACTTAATTTAAGAATAATTAGAGTCTTGGGGAGCCAGTCGGCCGAGCGGACAGCACGCTGGACTTGTGATCCTGTGGTCTTGGGTTCGATCCCAGGCGCCGGCGAGAAACAATGGGCAGAGTTTCTTTCACTCTATGCCCCTGTTACCTAGCAGTAAAATAGGTACCTGGGTGTTAGTCAGCTGTCACGGGCTGCTTCCTGGGGGGTGGAGGCCTGGTCGAGGACCGGGCCGCGGGGACACTAAAAAGCCCCGAAATCATCTCAAGAAAAGAGTCAAGAAGCCTCTTCCTTTATCAATCTTAAGTTTTGTACTTTTTTGAAGATGGGACTCCATGCAGGTGCTGAGTACTTCGCCGCTAATCGATCATATGATGTAGTTTCATTCACCACACAATCCAGAGACCCAAGTTCGATTCCCGACCGAGACAATTGGGCAAAGTGATGCCTCAGTTTACCTAGCAGTAAAATGGGTACCTGGGAAGTCAGTTGTTATATATATATATGCACCGCCCACGCCCATATATATGACTGCTCTCAATGACACATATATGACTGCTGTCAACGACACATATATGACTGCTGTCAACGACACATATATGACTGCTGTCAACGACACATATATGACTGCTCTCAGCGACACATATATGACTGCTCTCAACGACACATATATGGCTGCTCTCAATGACACATATATGACTGCTCTCAGCGACACATATATGACTGCTGTCAACGACACATATATGACTGGTGTCAACGACACATATATGACTGCTCTCAGCGACACATATATGACTGCTCTCAACGACACATATATGGCTGCTCTCAGCGACACATATATGACTGCTCTCAGCGACACATATATGACTGCTCTCAACGACACATATATGGCTGCTCTCAATGACACATATATGGCTGCTCTCAATGACACATATATGGCTGCTCTCAATGACACATGTATGACTGCTCTCAACGACACATGTATGACTGCTCTCAACGACACATATATGACTGCTCTCAACGACACACATATGGCTGCTCTCAACGACACATATATGACTGCTCTCAACGACACATGTATGACTGCTCTCAACGACACATGTATGACTGCTCTCAACGACACATATATGACTGCTCTCAACGACACACATATGGCTGCTCTCAACGACACATATATGACTGCTCTCAACGACACATGTATGACTGCTCTCAATGACACATGTATGACTGCTCTCAACGACACATGTATGACTGCTCTCAACGACACATGTATGACTGCTCTCAACGACACATGTATGACTGCTGTCAACGACACATATATGACTGCTGTCAACGACACATGTATGACTGCTCTCAATGACACATGTATGACTGCTCTCAATGACACATGTATGACTGCTCTCAGCGACACACATATGACTGCTCTCAACGACACATATATGACTGCTCTCAGCGACACATATATGACTGCTCTCAGCGACACATATATGACTGCTCTCAGCGACACATATATGACTGCTCTCAACGACACATATGACTGCTCTCAACGACACATGTATGACTGCTCTCAGCGACACATGTATGACTGCTCTCAACGACACACACATGACTGCTCTCAACGACACATATATGACTGCTGTCAACGGTTGCCAGGTGACTATACGGGTAGCCAGGTTGACTTGGCCAGCAGCTGTACCCTAGGATCTAGCTTGGCCGCCAGCTGTACCCTAGGAGCTAGCTTGGCCGCCAGCTGTACCCTAGGAGCTAGCTTGGCCGCCAGCTGTACCCTAGGAGCTAGCTTGGCCAGCAGCTGTACCCTAGGAGCTAGCTTGGCCCACCAGCTGTACCCTAGGAGCTAGCTTGGCCAGCAGCTGTACCCTAGGAACTAGCTTGGCCGCCAGCTGTACCCTAGGAGCTAGTTTGGCCACCATCTGTACCCTAGGAACTAGCTTGGCCAACAGCTGTACCCTAGGAGCTAGCTTGGCCACTAGCTGTACCCTAGGAGCTAGCTTGGCCAACAGCTGTACCCTAGGAGCTAGCTTGGCCAACAGCTGTACCCTAGGAGCTAGCTTGGCCAACAGCTGTACCCTAGGAGCTAGCTTGGCCAACAGCTGTACCCTAGGAGCTAGCTTGGCCAACAGCTGTACCCTAGGAGCTAGCTTGGCCAACAGCTGTACCCTAGGAGCTAGCTTGGCCTTCAGCTGTACCCTAGGAGCTAGCTTGGCCGCCATCTGTACCCTAGGAGCTAGCTTGGCCAACAGCTGTACCCCTAGGAGCTAGCTTGGCCAACAGCTGTACCCTAGGAGCTAGCTTGGCCAACAGCTGTACCCTAGGAGCTAGCTTGGCCAGCAGCTGTACCCTAGGAGCTAGCTTGGCCAGCAGCTGTACCCTAGGAGCTAGCTTGGCCAGCAGCTGTACCCTAGGAGTTAGCTTGGCCGCCAGCTGTATCCTAGGAGCTAGCTTGGCCAACAGCTGTACCCTAGGAGCTAGCTTGGCCACCATCTGTACCCAAGGAGCTAGCTTGGCCAACAGCTGTACCCTAGGAGCTAGCTTGGCCACCATCTGTACCCTAGGAACTAGCTTGGCCAACAGCTGTACCCTAGGAGCTAGCTTGGCCAACAGCTGTACCCTAGGAGCTAGCTTGGCCAACAGCTGTACCCTAGGAGCTAGCTTGGCCAACAGCTGTACCCTAGGAGCTAGCTTGGCCAACAGCTGTACCCTAGGAGCTAGCTTGGCCAACAGCTGTACCCTAGGAGCTAGCTTGGCCACTAGCTGTACCCTAGGAGCTAGCTTGGCCAACAGCTGTACCCTAGGAGCTAGCTTGGCCAACAGCTGTACCCTAGGAGCTAGCTTGGCCAACAGCTGTACCCTAGGAGCTAGCTTGGCCAACAGCTGTACCCTAGGAGCTAGCTTGGCCAACAGCTGTACCCTAGGAGCTAGCTTGGCCAACAGCTGTACCCTAGGAGCTAGCTTGGCCAACAGCTGTACCCTAGGAGCTAGCTTGGCCACCATCTGTACCCTAGGAGCTAGCTTGGCCAACAGCTGTACCCTAGGAGCTAGCTTGGCCAACAGCTGTACCCTAGGAACTAGCTTGGCCAACAGCTGTACCCTAGGAGCTAGCTTGGCCAACAGCTGTACCCTAGGAGCTAGCTTGGCCAACAGCTGTACCCTAGGAGCTAGCTTGGCCAACAGCTGTACCCTAGGAGCTAGCTTGGCCAACAGCTGTACCCTAGGAACTAGCTTGGCCAACAGCTGTACCCTAGGAACTAGCTTGGCCAACAGCTGTACCCTAGGAGCTAGCTTGGCCAACAGCTGTACCCTAGGAGCTAGCTTGGCCAACAGCTGTACCCTAGGAGCTAGCTTGGCCAGCAGCTGTACCCTAGGAGCTAGCTTGGCCACCAGCTGTACCCTAGGAGCTAGCTTGGCCAACAGCTGTACCCTAGGAACTAGCTTGGCCAACAGCTGTACCCTAGGAGCTAGCTTGGCCAACAGCTGTACCCTAGGAGCTAGCTTGGCCAACAGCTGTACCCTAGGAGCTAGCTTGGCCAACAGCTGTACCCTAGGAGCTAGCTTGGCCAACAGCTGTACCCTAGGAACTAGCTTGGCCAACAGCTGTACCCTAGGAGCTAGCTTGGCCAACAGCTGTACCCTAGGAACTAGCTTGGCCAACAGCTGTACCCTAGGAGCTAGCTTGGCCAACAGCTGTACCCTAGGAGCTAGCTTGGCCAACAGCTGTACCCTAGGAGCTAGCTTGGCCAACAGCTGTACCCTAGGAACTAGCTTGGCCAATAGCTGTACCCTAGGAGCTAGCTTGGCCAACAGCTGTACCCTAGGAACTAGCTTGGCCAACAGCTGTACCCTAGGAACTAGCTTGGCCAACAGCTGTACCCTAGGAGCTAGCTTGGCCAACAGCTGTACCCTAGGAGCTAGCTTGGCTAACAGCTGTACCCTAGGAGCTAGCTTGGCCAACATCTGTACCCTAGGAGCTAGCTTGGCCAACAGCTGTACCCTAGGAGCTAGCTTGGCCAACAGCTGTACCCTAGGAGCTAGCTTGGCCAACAGCTGTACCCTAGGAGCTAGCTTGGCCACCAGCTGTACCCTAGGAGCTAGCTTGGCCAACAGTTGTACCCTAGGAGCTAGCTTGGCCAACAGCTGTACCCTAGGAGCTAGCTTGGCCAACAGCTGTACCCTAGGAGCTAGCTTGGCCAACAGCTGTACCCTAGGAGCTAGCTTGGCCACCAGCTGTACCCTAGAAACTATGCTAAAACTGAAACAAAGCTCAAGATCAATTAGTGTAACACGTGGTCCTGTTTACGCCGCTTTTAATGAACTCGACGTTCAATTCTTTTTCTTCTAACGCTTGCTAACGAGTCAGTTTTATGGTTTTTTTTATGTAAACGTTTTTATTAATGTTTGGGAGGCTGCGTTATCAGCTGGACTCTGCTTCGTTTAACTTAAGTTTCCATCAAGATCGGCCAATGTCGATACCTGTAATAGGTATTAACCTATACCTATAATAGGTTAAGTAATAATTGTAATTACGAAGCAATAAGATGCTTATCTTAACATACTAAGAAGGTTAGGTAAGGTCGGTGTTTTCTATGAAGCTTTTCAAAGTAAACTAGTATGTTTAGTGTGTCACATATGCACGTATTTAATAAGTCAATATTGACTATACGAAAGTGCGAGAACGGGTTGCACTCTTATCAAACTGGAGAAAAATTAATGCCACAAATTTCAAGTATAAAATTTTTAATGCGGAGAAACTCAATTGAAGAGGTTTTGAGGAGGAGGCGGAGGCTAGCTACGTTTCTTTGTTTCCCTCTTTCTGTCCAACCACTTGGGCTGGACGGTAGAGCGACGGTCTCGCTTCGTGCAGGTCGGCGTTCAATCCCCGACGGTCCACAAGTGGTTGTGGCCACCATTCCTTTCGCCCCGTCCCATCCTTAGTCCTTATCTTGATCCCTTCCCAGTGCTATATAGTCATAATGGTTTGGCGCTTTCCCCCCTGATAGTTCAAATCAATTCTCTCTCTCTCTCCTGTGGGATGAGTGTATGGGGGGGGCTGGAGAGAGGGAGCGACCAGGGCCAGATTCACGAAAGCACTTACGCAAGCACTTACGAACCTATTCATCTTTTCTCAAGCTTTGGCGTCTTTGTTTACAATTATTAAACAGTTAATGAGCTCTGAAGCACCAGGAGGCTGTGTAACACTGTAAGGTGTTTGGTTTAGTTGTATTTAAAATACATAGAGATACATGAGTCACAGACAAGGATTTGAGAAGGCGCCAGTTTGGTCGACCTGAGATCTCACACCTCTAACCGTTAATGACCACCAAGTGACCTGAGGTCAGATATGAAAATTTCACCTTGCTTCCGCTAATCTTACAATTGGAGCCTGGTAGCCTTCAAACATGCCGACGTTTAAGGAGTGGCTTGGTAGAGTGCCGCAGGCTATCTACTTGTGGGCGGAGTTAGTTACTAGGTTCCCCAATATATACTCGGAGAGCTATCAATTCGAGAGCAATAAGAGAAGAACAGCAGCCAGGAGAGCAGAGAAGACGGCCTAGCAGGGAGGCTGTCGGCCGGCAGGGCGGGACAGTCTCTGTCAACTACAGACCCCCCCCCCCCCCTCTATCCAGCTATAGGCAGACACTTGGTGAGTTGAACATTAAGGTGACTTGGTCGTGTTTTACAAGTGTTGTGTGATGATCAGGGGCAGTCAGTTGTAGTGTTCTCAGATTCTTGGAGGATGACTCACTTTACATATATATATATCTTGAACAATGCTTAAATTATGATACTTCATGTGAAATATAATTATGACTTTATTATTTGAATTGTGTTTAACTTTGTTCCCTAGAGCTTTGAGTTGAGGTGAGAAAGCCTCTGTGGTTACTGGTTTCATGATATTAATGAGTACATGTTTGGAGTTGATACATGGTAATAACATCTTTTGAGAATATTGTGATACAGACAAGTTCCATTCCTTGTCTTGTATGTAATGGTCTAGAATGGATGGTGGCAGCATTTCGTCTTCTACTATCTACTCTTCTACTTCTACTATCTATTCTTCTACTTCTACCTATCTACACCTCTCCCTCCACCCCCTCTCTAAACTCTCACTTTCAACTAATGACCCTCCTCGCTCCTCCCACCTCTCACCCCAAACCCTCACTAATTACTTCACTATTCATTTCTTTCCTTTCGTTTTCTCTTATACGTTTGTGGCAGTGAAATGTGTTCTAGAGTTCTCTCTAGAGTTTCGGGTAGCTGATCAAGTTAGGCGCCTTGTAGTCTTAGCACCTAGGTAGTCAAATACCTAGGTTACAAGGTGTTGAACGAGAGAGGTTGCCTTAGGAACTCTGGGAGTGCTCTAGAATAGTTAGCTAACTGGGGACGGGATAACGGACTAGAGAGAGCTGTTTCCCCCGGCCTCGTTAGTTAACTGGGGGGTGGAATAATGGACAAGATAGAGCTATTTCCCCCCCCCCCCCCCGTTACAGTTGTTTATAACAATAACAACAGTTGATTGGCAAGTTTTCATGCTTGTAAACTGTTTAATAAATGTAACCAAAGCCGTCAAAGATTGAGGAAAGATGTACACGTTCGTAAGTGCTTGCGTAAGTGCTTTCGTGAATCTGGTCCCGGGACGCGTGTACATCCGCTGATGCAGTGTATGAGAGATATGTATGAAAGTATTCATGTAGACCTCAGAGGATGTCCCATTGTTGATAACGTCAACATTAATATTCATAACATTAACAAACTTCTATCATAACACACACAAACCACAATTGCGCGATGCATTAAATGAACAAATCCACAAGGGCCGTGACGTAGGTTCGAATCCTCGTCA